CTGGGACAGTGTCTGGCACATGAATGATGTGTTCTAAATGAATATTTTTAACAAATAAATAAATGAAATATCATACAAGAGAAGGCTAGTATTTGGAACTTATTCATCAACAGAATGAAAAAGCCAAAGACCTTTAGCCTGTCCCTACTTTTTAACGCATCCCACCCCAGAGAAGCCAGCACAGAAAAATGAGGAACCAAGATGGAGAAGGGAGCAGATGGTGCCTGCCCCCTCAGCTAAAGACCCCTTAGGCTTAGGTTGAACTTGAGCTGGAGAAGGGACTAATCTAGGAACTGGGTGTGAGATTAAAGTTTAGATTTGTCTGGCCTGGATTTTGTAACACCTAAACACGAGGTATTCCATTCGTTTTTGTTTCTGTTTTTGTTTTTTTGAATCAGAGTCTTGCTCTGTCGCACACGCTGGAGTGCAGTGGCTCAATCTAGGCTGACTGCCACATCTGCCTCCCAGGTTCAATCCTCCCACCTCAGCCTCCCAAGTAGCTGAGATGACAGGCACCCACCACCACACCCAGCTAATTTTTGTTTTTTTAGTAGAGACTGGTTTCGCCATGTTGGCCAGGCTGATTTGGAACTTTTGACCTCAGGTGATCCATCCGCCTCGGCCTCCCAAAGTGCTGGGATTACAGACATGAACCACTGCGCCTGGCCCCTGTCCGTTTCTTTAGGCACACTGAGATAGGGAAGTCGGAAGCGTGCATCGGGTGGGGATGCCTCCAGCTTCAAGAAAGAGCCTGGGAACAGGCACAGAAACTCACCATCCCCTTTTATCACAGGCAGGTAAGTAGCGCAGAGCAGCACAAACTAAGAGCCTGCCTGCATGATCAACGAATGGGGTGGGGACTGCTAGAGACTCTGCCCTATGCAGATGGCACACCTGGTCCTAACCGGTTCTTCAGGCCCTATGGAGATAAGACACCCCCTCCTACTTAGCCCATTTATAAAAACCCTGACGTTTGTTTCTATAACCTGGCAAATCGTTCGGGACCCCTCTCTGTGACAGACAGCTCTTCTTTCCTTTCGCCTATGAAACTCCTGCTCCAATCTCACTAGGTGATGCACGTCCCCGTCCTTGATTTCCTTGGCGGCCAGATCAAGAATCTTGGCATTTATCCCAGACAACGAGCTGTTTTACTGCCGTTCCTTTCTGGCATCGTTTCTGCCACTGTGTTTTCTCAAGCGGGGAGAAGCAACCCCAGGGACGCGACGTGGCCAGAAGGAGCCCCTGCGTGGGGAATGGAGAAGGGCACAGGCGCAGTCAGAAAGGCCTTCCTCCCCGACGCCCTCTCCTCTTTCTCCGACCCAATCCAGGAACTCACCGGCCCGCGCGGTCCAGAAACAGTCCCGCAGCAGAGGCAGAGCCAGAACGCAATGAAGGAACGTGGGGCCCTCAGTCAGCTCCTTTGGGACCCGGACCTTGCAACGGAATGCCGAGGACATCGCTGTTCACCGCGCGGAGGAAATGTCAGCGCCTCCCGCTGAGCCGTCCCGGGCTTTGGTCACCCGGGTGGAACCGCAGCGCAGAGAAACGCCCTGACGTTTCACTCCGCGTGTCTCCTGCTTCCCGTTCTTCCCAGGAGATCATTTCACTTCGTTTTGCAAATCTTTTCTTCCACTTGCGCGCTGCTTCTTTATGTTCTTAAATGCGTGTTTCACAAAGAGCAGGGCTTGAGTTTTGTACTTTCTCTGTGGTGTTCGTTTTTGTGTGTCTGTGGGTGGTGAAATTGGGTCGGAGTCGCTCTACGGTCATTTTTGCCTTTTGCCTCTTGCGCGCCTCGGCGTCCCCGGATTTCAACCGCAAAACACTTGCGTGGAAAGTTAGTTCCGGGGGGTTTCAGTTCTGGCCCGCCGCGTACCTTCTGGTTCCGCGCGCTCCTCCCTGGGCGCCAGCTGTGCCCGGGCTCGGCCCCCACTAGCCTGATACCCCTCAGGGGGCGCCCTGCTGCAGCCGATGTCGCATCAGGAGGGACCCGGCCCCGGGCGGGTGGCAGCGGGCGGAAACGCCTTTGGAAGACGTAGGAGGACTGGCCCATCGTGGCAGGGATAAGTTTTTTCCCTCGGGCTTGAGGTGAGGGGAAATCAGAGGTGTCTGCTGGTTTCCTCCCACAGCCTGGTGCGGGGGGCGGGGAGGACTTTACACCTGGCTCCTGCGGAGACGTCACCTTCCAGCTGGGGTCCTTGGAGCTCCAACAGCGCGGTTCCCGCGCGGATCCCCCTCCTGCTTTCGTTGAGGCTGCTGGTGGGCGGCGCCCGTGACCCATTTGGTCCTGAGGGTCCACGGGTCGGGTCAGGAGCTTCTAATCGTCCCCTTCCCGACCCCGTCGCCTGGAGGACAAGGGCCCTTGGTTCCTCGGCTGGGCTGGGGTCTCTTCTAGGATGGACGTCCTGAGGCTGAGAAAAGCCCGAGAGGTGTGGAAAAGTGGGTTCAGAGAGAGGACGGGAAAAAGGGAAGGAGAAGCACGTGGCAGGAGAACCAGAAGAAACTCCAACTCCGAAAATAGGGAGAGGGTGCCACAGGGACAACCCGTCCCCCACCCCCCGGCCCCAGTTAGGGTTCTCCAGAGGGACTGCCCCGATAGGATATAGGTATATGTATATGAAAGGGAGTTTATTAGGGAAAATTGGTGCACACGATTTCAAGGCAAAGTCCAGTGGTAGACCGTCTGCAAACTGGGAGGAGACAAACCAGCAGGGATCAGTCCAAGTCAGAAAGCTTCAAAACCGGGGAAGCTCACAGGGCAGCCTTTATCCCCTACCAAAGGTCCCAGAGACCCCGGAAGTCGGAAACTGCTGATGCAAGCCCCAGAGCCCGAAGGCCAAATAACTTGGACTCTGATGTCCAAGGAGGAAGGAAGCAAGAACCTGCACGGAAGGCAGAGAGAAGCCAGAGAGCTCCGCCCGCAGAGTCACCCCACCCTCTCCCGCCTACTCTCTTCTAGCCCAGCACTGTTTGTTAAATAGGAAGTCTTTCTTCCATTGCTCATTTCTGTTGAAGATTAGATGGCGGTAGGTGTGCAGGCTGATTTCTGGGCTAATTTGTTCTACTGATCTAAGCGTCTATTTTTGTAACTGTGTAGGTCTGTGTTGGTCACTGTAGCCTTATAGTATATTTTGAAGTCTGGTAACGTGATGCCTCTGGCTTTGTCCTTTTTGCTTAGGATTGTTTTGAGAGTTTGAACTTTTTTTTTTTTTTTGGTTCCAAATATATTTTAGAATAGATTTTTCTAATTCTGTGAAAACCAATATTGGTATTTTGATAGTGATAACTTTTCATCTGTAAATTGTTTTGGGAAGTATGGCCATTTTAGCTATATTGATTCTTCCAACCAATGAGCATGAAATATATTTTCTATTCATCTGTGTTGTCTCTGATTTTTTTAAGCAGTATTTTGTAGTTCTCTTATAAAGATCTTTCATCTCTTTGGGTAGATGAACTACTAGGTACTTCATTTTCTTTGTGGCTGTTGTAAATGTGATTGTGTTCTTGCTTTCATTCTCAGCTAGAATGTTGTTGGAGTGTAAGAATGCTACTGATTGTGTACATTGATTTTGTATGCTGAAACTTGACTGAATTCATGTATCAGTTCCAGGAGCCACTCCGGCTCCCCTTCTGTACCTGGGTTTTCCTTTGAGCCCCATTCCCTCCTGCAAGTGTCTCATTCATTCAGTTGCATGCTCAGTCTCCAACCACCACTTAAATCATGTCAGGTACACCTGATGAAGGAGAGAAAAAACATTCTCTGTGAGTCTGAAAAAGATTCTGGATTCTTGATAAGTGTGTACTGTGTCCCCCTGGTGGCTGGAGGAGGTGCATGATTGCTAGATCACAGCCATTAGCACCTTTGGGCTGCTGCTATTCCCAGCTTGGGTGGGCCTGAGTCTGGTGGCCAGGAGCCTACAGCAGGAGTGAGGCAGGTGGGCCCAGGTGTGCACAGAGGCCCCTCCTCCTGTTACCTGGCTGTCCTGCCCAGGACTGTCCTGCCAGCCTTCTGCCTTCCTCCTGTTCACCCAGTCACTGACCCAGGTCTTCCAGCCTCAGGGGTGGGGCTGCCAGGGCCTTCCCAGTGGCCTCCTCTCAGAACTAACCTAGGCTCCTGTCCCCAGCCCTGTACATGGGACTCTTCTCACACACAGATCCTGGGACCCACCAAGCTCTGCCCCTCCCGTGTGTAAGAACTGCCCATCCCCATGTGTCTGTTGTCCTCCAGACCACCCTCCATGTGGCCTCTCCTGGATAGAGGCTTTAGTGCATCAGGCCAGAACCTTCTGGGTTCTTGTGTCCCTGCACAGTCACAGAGGTGGGTGCCATCCCATGCCCCTGTCCTGAAGCAGAGACAGGCCCTGGGGTTGGCCCAGGCCTCCTCCCCTTTCCCACAGCCTCAGGACCCTGGGGATTGAAGGTCACCAGGTACAGGTTCTCCCCACGTGAATACTGTGTGGAGAGGGATGTCTGTGCCTATCTTTTTTCATTTAATGGGTAAAGGGCTGAGTGGCTGGAGGCAGAGTGGGACTCAAGGTCTCTGCCCAGTCCTTACCCCAGGCTATGCCATCCCCAGCAGCCAGGAGCCACTGGGCCCCCTATCTCCCTCTTACTTCTGCCCACAGTTCCAGATGCCTCCATGGTGACTGAGAAGAGGATGTGCTGGGGATTCCTCAGTTGTAGGTGCATGCAGGGGTGAGCCGAATGGAGAGGGGATACAGCCACAGACTCAGGCCTGGGCAACCATCGATGGCTGTGTGGTAAAGTGAGCCCTATATGGAAGGAGAACCCTCCCTCAGCTCCTGTGCCCATGGAAATCCAACACTTCAAAGATCTCAGTCTCATCTGGATTAGGTCATGTATCTAGAAATTGATGAAGGGACTCTGGGCCTTCATTCTGTAGAGCTGCTTCATTCTCTAGAGGGGCCTGGGGGTTGCCTGCAGGGGAGGAGGGGGCGGGAGAAGCTGCCTGAGGCTGAGAACAAAGGGTGAGAGGGGAACACCTGGAGGCCCTGGCTTTGCAGGAGGAGGAGCTGTGCTGCATTTATGGAGGTATTCACTCCTTCACCTCAATTTCTGAAAAGTAAGTTTTTCTTCAATTTCTATTTTCAACTAGTAAAAAAAAAAAAGAAAATGAAACAAGCAGAATGAACAGAGTGGTCGCAAGCACATTACAGAGAACTTCTCTTCCTGCACTACTTGAGAGTGAGCTGTCACACTGACGCCCCATCTTAGAGATGCCACCTCATGCCCCATACTTTACTATGGTTTCCTTGCAAACCAGGACCTCTCCAGATAACCACTGTACAAACTCCAAATTAGATTTCACTGCAGACATTATGACCATCTCATGCTCAGATGCCACTCAGGGTTCAGCAATTATCCAGGGAGCTGATGGATGCGGGCATTTCCTACTCCCTCATTTTCCTAAATACATACGTTATGGTGCTCTATTTGTCCCATTGATTGATCTGCATATTTTTGGAAATATGGAAAGCGATCTGGATTGATGTGGTTATTTTTATTATGTGTAAATGAGAAATCCTCACTAACATGTTGGAAAAGTTTAACATTTTCATCCAGCATTTGGATGGTTTCATTTTTGCTAGTTCAGATTTTGTAGTCTAATGTAGAGCGAAAGAGAAATCTCTCATCAACATTGAAAAGCATCCTGTACTGTACTGGAATATTTCACGGCCAACTTTTTGCTATGACAATGAATAGCACAGTCAGCAGTCTAGTATCTCCATACTCTCTGGAACATGTTTGGGGCCTGGAACTGACTCTGGGATTGCTGGTTAGTGGGATGAGCACAGCGTCCACTGTCCTGGATACTGCCTGAGTAGACATCAAAGAAGTGATTCAATCTGGATTCCTACCCACAATGGAAGAAGTCTCTGATATTTTATTTCCTATCCACCAATTAGTAGAGACAGATTAAAAACATTTGTCAGTAGGAAGGGTGTGCAGGGGTAGACCATTGTTCTCTTGTGTCAGATATATAAAAGCTTTCACAGGTTTGTTCAGCATCTCTGAACTGCTCATGACATTTGCCCAAGAATTAGGTACATTTTATTTATATATTCTGCTTCTGATTTTTTGTCTATGGGGGAATAGCATTACTTTTAAAAACAGAAATGTATCTGTGGTGAGGATTTCTTCTACTAGAAGTGAGCATGGTCAGGGCTGAAGAATGGTGAGAAAAGCCACTGCCAAGCGTGGAGTGGGCTGGGGACAAACCAGAAAGCATCACATTCTGGAAGCAGGGATAGAGGCAGGAATACCTGCCAGCCCCCAGGGCATCAGGACAGTGGTGAAGACTGACAGCCAGGCTGCTTGTAAATTAAGAGTGATCTTTAAAGTCTCTGTCTCCAAAAGATATCTAGCAACATCCCTGGGTGTATTACTAAACATAACATGGCAGAAGAATGAAATCCCATTAATTCTCTACTGGGTTACAAACCAAAATTCCAAAGTCAATAAGGTTCTTTGAAAATCGATATCTTTATTTAAGTACAGTCTAATAAATTACTAAATAAAATAATCATGAATATAATACATTTTCATATTAAATACTACATATTAAATACTAAAAATTTCTACGACAGACACTGTGGTTCAGGTCTGTAATCCCAGAGCAATTGGGAGGCAAAGATAAAAGGATTGCTTGAGGCCAGGAGTTGAAGACCAGCCTGGGCAATGTAGGAAGACCCAATCTCTACCTAAAAATAAAACAATTGCTAGGCATGGTGGCATGCGCCTGTAGTCCCAGCTATTCTAGAGGCTGAGTCTAGAGGATCACTTGAGCCCAGGAGTTAGAGATTACGGTGAGTGATGACTATGCCACTTCACTCCAATATGGTTGACAGAATGAGAATATTTAAAAAAAAAAAAAAAAACCTTTCATAACAATAAAAAGGATTAATACGATTCTTGGTCAGTGCATGGAAAGGATCCCTGAGGCCTGAAGTCCAGCATGCTATTTTACTAGCAATACTGTTTAGAAGAATAAGGTCATGCTTCAGAGAAGTGTCTGCTTTTCCACAATCAAAGAAGTAGAAATAAAATGCTTTTTGCTGAGATTTCTTGTTCAGTTAAAACTTGTACAGGAATTCCATCCATTAGCACCAAAAGAAAGTGGCAGAAGATATTAAGAAAAATGGCTGCTAGGATCATCAGCAAAGGTAATGAATGGCATGAGATGTTGAGTCTACAATGTCCACATCATCTGCTGGGAGCCGGTGGGCTTGCTAAGGCTTGAACTCCTGGCTGTCCAGTAAGGCATAGTGGTAAGTAGACAGGCGCCTTCTCTGAAGGGAGAGCGGGAACCAGACGAGGCTAACAAAGGCTTCCTGGTATCATCTTCCACCTTGGGAAAGATGAAGTGTTGGTTTAAGTGGCTGAGAAAAACCTGTGTCTGTTCTCCTGGGTGATCCCTCCCAGACCCTCCCCATTTTGGAGCTTCTTCCCCAAATAAGGAACATGTTTTTCCCTCCAACCCTACTCCTGGCTCTGCAGCCTGTCCCAACCTCCTCCCTCCTTCACCACACCACAGAGCCAGCCCAGGTTCTGTTATAGCCCTCAGGGGCTCGGAACTGAGGCTGGTAATGAGGGGTCTGCACCCTCACTCAGGGCCTGATCCTCTGTCTCATAGAAGGGTATAGAGGACCTGGGGGAGCTCTCTTCAAAGAGAGGTCTCTGGATCCATGTTCCCTGGCCTTGGGTGGGCTTGCAGGCAAACCTCCTTCTTTCCCCTTCGCTCTCAGCCTTTCCTCACCCCGGGAGCTGCACCCATAGCTCTGAATAGGACTGCCCCTGCCCCGCCCCATTCATTCCCAGCCAAGCTCAGTGGCAACCATGGACCTCTAGCAGCAGCTCAGCTGCCCTGTCTGAGTCCACTCTGCTCCAGGCAGGGCCATCAGCTGGCTCAGGATCTGGAGTGTGCAGGAGGCAGAATGGCAGGGGCATCACCCCAGGGCCTGGCCAGGAATCCCATGGGTCCAAGGGGCTTGGCCATTTTCTAAACCTCGTCCTGGACATGCTCTACTCTTCACCTTCCACCTTAACTGCTGGGACTCAAGCTGCTTTCTCTGGGAATGCAGCCTTAGGAACTGGGAGGAACTGGGTGGGCCAAGGCCCTCACAGCCCCCTCGTCCTGGAATTCCCCCAGGTCTCTCTCTTCTTAGCCTCTTCCAGGGACGCCCCTTCCCTTGACATCCTAGGTGAAGTGGCCATGCTGCTCCTCTCCTATTGCACGGACTGCCCATGCCTGAGTTCCTGCTGCCTGCAGGTCACACACCACTACCCTTCCCGAATAGAAACCTGCTCTGAAACAGGCCTGAATTGTCTAAACCCTCTTGAACTCAACAGGCCCTGAGGCTTGGTATGGGCCCCTCCCTTTCCCTCTGGCCCTGATGGTGAGAATCCATCAGAACCCAAAGTTGAGCTACCCAGGTCACTGCCAACAGGCGACACCAGGTCTCATTCATCTGTCTCATGTCAGGATGAGAAGGTCCCGGCCATGGGGAGGGGTGGGGCTCTGGGAATTCTCCTTTCCCTTCCTCCCACCTCCCCTATCTGTCTCTTGTTCCCCTCACAGTTTTGCCTACAGTACCTGTCACTCTAAAGGACTCTCCTAAGATGCCAGGGAGGGTGAAGCAGAGGATGATGAGGAGGCTCCAGGGACTGAGGCTGGTGGCCATGGCTTTGGTCTGGGCTGTGCCTGGGGCCACGGTGGGTGGTGCTGAAACAGAAACACAGGAGTGACAGCCCTTGTCCATGCCCCAAATCTGAGGAGATGCCTCCTCAGCTCCTGCTGCCCCAGGTAATCCTGGAAGGCAGAGGATTTGTCTCCCCTGCTGTGGGGCAGCCGCTGTGACAGTTCCTGGGGTAGGAAGGGAGAGGGGGTGTCCCCGTCCTCAGGGAGCTCACATAGCTGCTGAGGGAAGCAAGGTGACAGCACAGCCCACCCTCCTGCTCTGGTGGAAGAGGAGGTGATGCCCCAGGGTCAGGGACAGGAGAGTCTCGGGGCTGGCATTTGAGGTGGTTTTGATGGATTTCTAGAAAGAGACCAAGGGAGAGGAAAGGAAAAGTAATCCTAGGTGGAGGGAAATCTAAGGAGAAAGGCCCAGAAACACAATGACACCTACAGTTTCGAGGCTGGCAAGAAATCCACAGTGAGTGGAGCAAAAGCAAGTGCAGTGAGGAAGAGGAGTCAGGAGGGAGAGAGAAGAGGAGGATGGGAGAGCCCAGCCACCCCAAGGAGGAGCCCCCCCATGAGGGGTTCATGTTCTTACACTCACTGACACACTCACACACACACATAGACTCACACCCACTCACACCCATACACCCACACCCACCATACTCAGACACTCACAGACAAGGGTGTAACTCTATGGCATCTCCAGGGTGCTCCCAGTGCTCCCCTGTCAGTTACCTGTGGGTTCCAGCCTCTTCTTCCTGTGCATCAGGAAGTCCCTAAGCCAGCTCTTGCAGTCTCCCATCAAGACCTTCTGGAAGAACATGGTTAGTTCGCTGTCCTCCCACTTCTCTTTCATCCGCTTGGCTCCAGCCTGAACCACTGTCCACTTTCTGTTGTTTGAGTCAAAGAGGAGGAACTTCTGTCCATTGAAGCTGAACTGCCAAGATCCACGGATGGGTCCGTCGACTTCACACTCACAAGACATCCTGGCCTGCAGCGTGCGGGGTCCTGCCCCAATCAGAAAGAGATCAGCTCTGGTCTTTACACATTCTCTTCCCTGTCCCACATCCTCCTATGCTGAGACCCTTCTCACCTGGTCCTGTTGTCTCCTCCAAGTCCTGCCCTTGCTGCTGGGCTTCATGGAGGTCCCATGTCTAATTTATTCTACCCACACAAAGTGCAGCCCCTGAGCCCACACTCTGCTCCCTTCTGTCCTTGGTCTCTTCCACTCACCGCTGGGTGTGAAATCCTCCCGCTCAGTGTCAGCCAGTTTCATTCTGAGCCTCCGCCCCACCTCTTTCAGCATTTCCAATTGTTTTCCCCAGGCATCTGTGACATCCAGCTGCTCTTCTAGGTGACCCATAGATAAGACCTTGTCACTGCCACAGTCATAGGAGAGGAAATTCTTCTGATCAGCCTGGCCCTGGACCTCACACCACTGTTGTCCATGAGTGATGTTGAAGTTATACCAGAGAGAGTGAGCATCTATGGAAAAAAAGAAAAAACACCGGAGAGTGTTGGTGTGGGGGAACGACCCCAAACACTGTGACAGCAAGAGGGTTTCCTAAAGGGCTGGGGTAGCAGAGCATGGATTTCTCTTCCTCGACGGTGGTCTCTGCCTATAGAGGAACCATGGGTCGCCAACATGTCCATCTCCCCACTCTGCCCAGACCTATACTCACATCCGTCAGCACAGCACCCTGCCAGGGAGGTGGCAGGCCTGCTACAGGAGGAAGGACTTAGATGGCAGGATCTTCAGGAGCAGCCCAGGTGGACTGCAGGAGGCAGGAGAGTGTGGGAAGGCACCCTGAGGATGTTGGAGCATGGTGCAGTGGGTACGATGTAGTCAACATTGGATAAGGGTGAGTTCATTTATTATGGGTAACAAGACATGGTAAGTTCCCTGGAATGTGGTCATCTGCTAGGAGGTTGCCCTTGGAACCTTGGAGAAAGGAATGACCCACACCACATGAAACAGAAAACCCAGGTCTTACATGGCAGGTTGTAGAGGAAGGAACAAAAGACTAAGAGAAGTGCCCATGCCACAGTGACTGCAGTATGGAATCCAGAACAATGTCCACCCTCTGTGCTCAAGGGAAGCCTGGAAGACTCCTGTTTACCCAGCATATAAAGAAGGCTCCAGGAGAAGGCAGCAGACTGTCAAGAAGCTCAGGGATGCCTGTTGCTGAAGGCCAGGGTCAGGGGTAGGAGATGCTCTTCCTGAAATGGGCTCCCGGTAGTAATGGGGGTGGAAAATCCTGAAATAACAGATCTCAAGAGGAGGCCGTCAACTGTCAGCAGGAAGGAGGGTGCAATGATGGAAATAATTAGAGAAGTAACAATGCCAGCTGGGGACCTCAGTCTTACAAAGCTATGCCCCATAGAAAAAAAGGGTCCAAGATCCAAAAGAGAGGGAGACTCCACCCGGATACTACTAGATTTAAATAATTACCACAAAGACAAAATGCAAGGATGGATGACCAGGAGGCTGAAAGTTGCCACCCCAGGAAATAACTGAGCTCCTTTGCCCAGCTTTGAGATCTGAGCCACATCTCAGATGCAGAGTCCCTTACTAGAAGGAGAGCCCAGAGCCCCTGGTGGGCCCCTTCAACCCCACAGCAACTGCAATGACTCCTTCAGACTCCCCCACAGAGCAAGAAGGACATTCACTCTGGTAACTGTACACCATGAAACAGCAAATACCCAGACACTCCTAGTGGACACAGTGTGCGATCTGAGCTCTTCCCTGAGATGTGAAGCATTAACTTGCTCCCCTCTTACTCATGAGGTGCATTTGGAGCAAAGTAACAGATGGACGCCTGTGTCAGGTCCAGCTTAGAGGGATGTGCTGGGTTCATAGACCCATTCGATGGTAATTTCACATTTCCTGGATTTCTACCGGGAATGGTTAGTGTTTGTAGTTAATGTAGTAACTATTATAGGTTGTGCTGGTCATATGACATCCCCTGTCACTACTGAATGCTGCTCTGGTAGCTGGGATGCAGCCATACACACTCTCATGAGGAGTGTTGCTGGACCTGCCACTATGGCTATTTGACCCTGGACTCCCTAAGATCCCAGAGGCATGTGTGGTTGGAAAAGGTGCTATGTGGATTTCATGGCTATTCCCAACCACGGAATCACAACAGGGTCCCCTACTGCTCAGAAGCAAGGCTGTGCCACTCACAGCAATGAAATCCCCTCACTTAAAAGTGGCTCCAGGTGTGGTCCTGGGCCCTGGTGGAGATGGGCCTCCATCTATGGGAGGGCAGTGACCACACAGCCTCAGAGCTGCCCATCACACGGTGGGCTCCTCACCCTTTAGGTCATTAGGAAGGTAGGCCCAGCAGTGAGAAGACGCAGGTGGGTCTCCTGGGATGGGCCGGAGCAGGGCCACAGGGAACCAAGAAGCTGCACAAGCAGTTGGCCCCGATCCCCAGGACACTACATGGGTGTACCCCTCACCCTCAGCTCACACCTGAGGCTTCAGGGAGGGTCCCTGATCGCCCCAAGGGACCGATGATGCCCCCCAGCAGCAAAGGAGGGGGGCATTGACCCCGAACCATAGAACCTCCACTCGCATCCATCACACCCACACCACCCAGAAGCCACAGGCAGGGTCGGACACACCTGTGACTCTTCAACTTACACCACTTGGAGATGACACCCCAGGGGATGGGGCAGCAATTGCCAGGACACAGCATGCGCCTTCACCTGGGGTCAGCAACCTAGGATGGTGTCCACATCTGGTCTCCCTTTTATTTGCAAGTTGCCATTGCCTGCTGTTCCTCTACAAAGGGACAGGACTTGACACACAGAGTACCCATGGCCAGCAAGGACCAAAGTGCCTTCAGCTTTTCCTTTCTAGAAAGGGTTTGCTGATACCTGTCTGCTTAGTGACTACTCTATATGACGCTGGCTCCCCAGTAGGAAGAACAGGCGGGTCTGGGATCCAAGGGCAGTAGTGGGCGCCTCTACCCACGGGCGCTCCCAGGGTCATCCTGGGGGACATGGTACTTCCCATCCCCCCTGCATTAGGTTTTGTGGAAAGCATGGGGTGTGTTTGCTGGGGTGTGTCCGCTGGGGTGTGTGATCAGGCAAAGGGGGTGAAGGTGTTATTTGGTGGAGGAGGTGCTAAGGGCCCCTTCTTGGATGGGGAGGTGAGGGAGGCCTGTGGGGTGACAGGGCTGGGCTGAGATGGGGAGTGAAAAGATGCGTCCTGAGTAGTGGAAGTGAATAGTGAGGGGAGGAGTAGGAAGTGTCTGCTGAGCCGCTGGGGGCAGTTAAGTGTCTGCAACAAAGCGCAGGGGGAAGTTCCAGGGCATGGAGCCCTGGGGATGCTGGAGGGTTTGTGTGGTAGAGAGCCGGTGAGAGCAGAGAGACCTGTGGCTGATTGGGGTGTCAGTGATCGCGTCTCTGTGGAACCCCCCTTCACCCCTGTCTTGACCCCAGCTCGGGTTCCAGGGGCTCTGGTTTCTCCTTCCCGAGGGCGAGTGGGGCTGCGGGGCTCCACCAAGGGATCCCCTTCCCACCTAGCCCTCTGCAGCTTTTTGGCCCCTCCACCCTCCTGCGGTTCCTTTTTCGCCTTCTTTGACCCCCCTCCTGCCCTGCGGGGCAAGCAGCAGCCTCAGGAAGCGGACCTGGCGAAAAAGAGCAGCGAATGGGAACTGAGCGAGGGAGCAGACCGGGGAGATCGCGCCGGTCCTTCTAGAAGCCTTCCCTCCTCTGAAACGCGCTGCAGTCCACAGCCCCCCAGGTTTGGCCCCTGCCCCGCTGAGGCTCCATCCCCAAACTTACCGGCCCGCCCCGTCCCGGACCAGTCGGATAGCAGGTACAGAGTCAGGAGGCACAGAAGGATCGCAGGGCTGGCGGCCACTGCCATTGTAGACTTGGAGCGCAGCTGACTGGAGAAGCGGTCGATGTGGGGACCGGCGGATGAATCACTTCCACCCTCCCATGCCTGCCAGTGGTTAAATAGGCTCCGGCCCGCCCCGACCCTCTCCGTCCCGTCCCGCCCCTCTCCGTCCCGTCCAGCCCAGGCGCCCGCTCCAGTCCCGCCCCGCCTAGGGATCCAGGGGAGCCTATGCCTGCCCAAGTTTGGACGGCTGCTCCGCCCTATCCCGCCCCGTCTCGCCCTTCCCCGCCCCACCCCGGGCTGGGACCCGGGGAGCCTAAGCCTGCTCTTGTTTGGGGATGCTCCGCCCCATGCCGCCCCGGGCTCGTGGCCTGACAGCGGCCCCCTCTAGCCAACACTTACTCTCCACCCCTGGCGCCGCGCGGGCCAGGACACGGTTCCTTCTTGACCGCCTCATTTAATTTTTTAACACAGCATTTATTATTACCCACTGATGCACAGGAAAGCGAAGAAACTTGCACAGGGATATTCAGTGGCGGCCGCGTCACCGCCTCTGTCAGCGACACCCGCCCTCCTTCAGCCTGCGCCCAGAGTCCCAGCCCCTCTCCGTCCAGGGCGCAGCCGCTTCCCAGTCCGGAGTGGACCTTCTTTGCCTCTCCACTAAAAGCTGAGGCGGTCTTTGAGTATATTCTACATGCCTTTATGACTTCTGGAAAAAAAGGAAAGAAAAGAAAGTCCTAGTGGCCGACCGTGATCAGTCATCATGTGATCAATTGTGTTTCCATGGAGAGCAGAAGCCGAGGGAGGGGTCTACGCATGCGTGGGGCTCACTTAGCTGCACACTCATCTGTGGCCAACTACACCGAAATCCATGGGCCTAGGGCGGGTTTCCTATTTCAGTTGTGAGGTCTCCCGCTCTCCCTGAAGTCAGCAAATGCCAGGCCCACCCTGAGGACAGCTGGAGCTCTGAGCCCAGGCCGTGGCCTCTTCATGGTCCTGGGGGTGCTGTAAGGGGGTGGAAGTGAAAGCAAGACCCACCATCAGGACTCAGGCGTGTTTTTCAGACCCACAGAGGATGATTTTTCTCTCCATCACCTGGTGAGCCTGACATGATTTAAGGATGGTTGGAGGCTGAGTGAACCAGTGAATGAATGAGAGAGTTGTGGAAGTGAATGGGGCTCAGAGGAACAGCACAGGTGCAGAGGGGAGCTGGAGCGGAGGTTGTAACCCCCAGGGGCCTGAAGGTGGCAGCATGGAGGTTGGTAATTTTTTTTTTTTTTTTTTTCCTTTTTTCCTTTTTTAGTTGTTGGGTTTTGTTTGTTGTTTTCTTGGTTGGTTGGTTGTTTGTGAGACAGAGTCTCACTCTGTAGCCCAGACTGGAGTGCAGTGGGACGATCTCAGCTCACTACAATCTCTGCCACCCGGGTTCAAGCGATTCTCCTCCCTCAGCCTCCTGAGTAGCTGGAATTAGAGGCGCCTACCACCACCTCCGGCTAACTTTTGCAATTTTAGTAGGGACAGGGTCTCACTATGTTGGCCATGCTGGTATCAAACTCCAGGCCTCAGGTGATCTGCCTGCCTCGGCCTCCCAAAGTGTTGGGATTACAGGCGTGAGCCACTGCGCCTGGCACCAACTTGGAAATTTCAGTCTCCACCTGGTGTCCACAAAGATTTTCCAAGGAAGAGTAACTTTGGTTTTCAACCAGTCTGGGAGTGCTTCATCAGGATAGAATCTTCTAGAAAACATAGTGTGATGACGGACAGCAAACTACTGTCTTCAGCTGGTTTGATTGAGCCTAGAGTGCACCAGGGCCAGGAAAATCTTGTCTTTTTTCTTGCTTTTTTTTTTTTTTTTTTTTTTTTTGAGACGTTGTCTCATACTGTTGCCCGGGCTGGTGTGCAGTGGCGTGATCTAGGCTTGCTGCAACCTCCACCTGCCAGGTTCAAGCGATTCTCCTGCCTCAGCCTCCTGAGTAGCTAGGATTACAGGCACCTCCCACCATGCGTGGCTAGTTTTTTAGTATTTTTAGTTGAGATGGGGTTTCACTATGTTGGCCAGGCTGGTCTCGTGATCCCCTCCATACCTGTGTTCCATTTAGCATACTGAGGTTTTCTTTGGTTGGTTTGAAAGCTATACATTCTAGTTTTCTTCTCAGGGTGGCCGTCCTTAACCTATGACTCATACCAATCAGTATCACATTTATTGGTATTAATGGTTTCATTTTATTCCTAATTTTAGAAGTATCAGCATGTTTTCCTATTCCTTTTGCGTGCCACCTCCAACCCCATTTTCCTGATATCTTTCCTAGCTGTAATTCTCGGTTATTCTTAGCTACACTTCTTTCTGTAATTCTAACTTCACATTTTCCTTGTTGTGAGATAACAGTAATCTGGAACAGATTCTTTGGTCACTTGTCCTCCTCGGTTCTCTTGTCACATCTCCTGTGTTTCTCTTGCTATTGAGGTACCTTCCTCTAAACTGTTTCCAACTTGGTTTTTAGGAGGCAAATATCCTTCAGGTTTTCTGTGTTTCGAATATTTCTAAAACACTGTGGTGGGCAGGACTCGGTAGCTGCCCCTTCAAGTTTCCTGTACTGTTTCTAGAACGATATGTTCTAGAAAACACTGATGATAGGACAACTAGCTGCTGTCTTAGCCTGTTTGTTTAAGCCTGGAGCACACCAGGGGCAGGAAAATCCAGTATTTTAAGCAAAGAAAGAATGTGTGTGAAAGTGGGAATGGAAATGGGAAAGGAAAGGGGGCCAGGAAGAAGGGGATGCAGAGAATAAGGGGTGAGGGGCCTAGAGAAACCAGCTGCTCCTAGTCTAGGCACCGCTAGTCTAGGTACTGTGAGTTTAGGCAACGCTAGTCTAGGCTCTGCACAGTCATAATTAAAGCTACTAATCAGTTGACCTTAAAATAGATTTTCCTGGGTTCTCTGAGTGGGCCCAGTGCCATCACATGAGCTCTAACAAGCAGAAAATTTTCTCAGGCTGGAGCCAAGAAAGATGCGTCCAATGTCAGAGAGATTCTAAGCATGAGAAGGATTCCATGCACTGTTGCCGGCTCTGAGATGTGGGGACCATGAGCAAGACTGGAGAGGGGCCTCTAGGAGTTAGGGAAGGGCTGACAGCCAGCAGGGAAGCTGGGACCTCAGTCCCACAGGTCCAAGGACTGGATTCTGCCAGCAACCTGAATGCACTTGGAAGGAAATGCTTCCCAGAACCTCCCAATCAGAGCCTAGCTGGTGGACACCTTGAACTTGACCTTGACCTTGAGGACTGGGAGCAGAGAAACCAATCAAGCCATCTCAGGCTTGTGACCTAGAGGAATATGAAATAATAAAGATGTACTGATTTAAGCAGGTAAGTATGTGGGTGGCAATTTGTTATCACTGCAACAGAAAAGATACCTTCCTATTTAAATGAGAACTGGACTGGATATAAAATTCTAGGCTCAAGTTCTTTTTCTTCATATTTGAGAAAGAATACTCTGTTGTTATCTTGCAACCAGGGTTGTTGTTGTGTAGCCTGAGGGCCAAGTGTTTCCTTCTTCCTTCCATTGTTTCTCTGGGGTAATTTGGGAAAGGGAGCCAGAAGCCTGAGCTTCTTTCCTGTCTTCACCCAGTGGATTTGTACTGTTCTAGGCCTTTAGTCACAGTCTCAAGGAGGTGGAGAATGGTTTCTACTTTAACCTACCTTTTCACAGATGCATTTGTAGATTGTACAAGCTTATTGTTTTTCTCTTATTCGACTAGTGCTAGTCTTCTCTCCTCCTATTTTATAAATATGAAACTTACTGAGATGTAATTTACAGACAATACTCCTTTGTGAACATAGGAGCTTAAAGTCTCTTATCTTTGGGAGCGTATTGAAATACATAGGCATTTGGCCATATTATAAGATGTGTTCCCAGGCTATAAACGTTAAACAGATGAATGATATTACTTCAGTCATGAATCATCTTACCAATCTGTCAATTCTGTAGAAAATCACGTTTCTAGCAGTGCTTGCTTCAGGTTTGCGAAGAGAAAAACAGCAATGTTTTCACTGAACATTGACTTTTAGACAAAAGGAAGGCTAGAACTACATTAAATTCATTTTTACTTCCTATCATTTCTATATTTTATAGATTTCATAAAATCGGCCCACAGTCTTAATTTATGATAATTGTAATAGATATCTTAGTAAAACACCCAGTCTCTTTCGGTTATTGGAAACACTTATAAATTCTAGGCTTTAACAATAAATAGCACATTGTAGAACAGCAGTGTCGTTTAAAAACTGAACTTACTTGAATTAATCGGACACGACAAGATATTTTATGACCCTAACAGAAGCTTAATGAACAATGTTGAATAGATTTCAATACTTTTTTATAATGTATCTAAACTGTGTCAATTATGTTAACACTGCCTTTGAGAAGAAATCATCAATTTTGGATTTAACATACAGGATGGCACCCTAGAAAATGTTAAAACATCAGGAGAATTGTACCTTTAAGAGTGGAAATGAGCAATGAAAATACACACTACCAGAGTCACCTCCTGGGACGCCTAGATATTTACTTGTGATTTGAGCATTTTTCTGCCTAGAAACAGCAAAACTGACAGTTTAGCTCTAACTGGCAGGCACCACATGACATAGCAACAACAGAGCAAGAAAACCAGGAATATCTTTTGCTCAAAATAAAGTTATTTCAAATCTTGTTTTAAAAGTTTTTTTGCTAAGGTGCCTCCTCTACCCAAGAAACTAACAAAGAGCCACAGCAGCAACAATGATGCCCAGCAAGAGCAGCACTGCACGTGTAAAATCCAGTAAAGCACTCTGCCCTGAGGATTCGTCACTGCAGCTGTCCTGAGGGTTAGAATGTTTTCTACCTGACTGCTCCGGGAATGTGTGAGCCAAAAAATGAACAAAAATGATCCCTGGCTTGTGGAGATCCACAGGCGTTGAACAGAATCCAACATAGTATCTCTGCAGAACACAACCTCACGTAGGCAGCAGAGGCTTCCTACAATAAAAAAGCCATGCCACAAAAAAGCTCAGAAACCTGCAGAATATATCAAGAGTCAAATCACAGTAAGTGAGTGAGCCAATCCCACAGAGTACGTTTGGCCCTGAAGAACTACAGATATTAGAACTAAAAAGGAAATAGTAAAATATGTATCCTTAAATCATTAAAGACATAAAAGAATAAAACCCACTGCAACCATTGAGACAGTGTCAAAAAGACTAGTTATATCTGAAATAGAAAGAACCAAGCAGCACTTACAGCAATGAAAAATATGTTAATTAAAATTTGAAACTCAACACACTGAGAAGCAGCATATTAAATATAAGATGAAGTCACTGACCTGGATGGATCTGAAGAAATCATTCAAAATTTGGTAGAGAGAGAGTTTCATGCTGAAACTGCAAGAGAGAAGTATAAAGATATGGATGTACAAGGAAAAGGGCCAACCTGCCTCTAATTGGACTTCCAAAAGCAGAGAAGAAAATGAGGGAGAGGAAATTTTCAAAGAGCTAATGGCTAAGAACTTTTTCAGATTTTATGAAAGACATAGATTCTCAATTTTAGGAAACATAACCAATCTCAATTAGAATAAATAAAAATAAATTAACTCCTAGGTGCATTGTGATGAAATTGGAGAATATCTTAAAGGTTGTCTTCAAGAAAAGTATGTTTGAAGAGAACAACTTAAAAGGGAAAAATTTAAAAGCAATTATTGATAAAATATAATCCATAGGAAAGACAATCAATTTGACAACAGCCTCCTAGCCAGTTTTCAAAATTCGCAGCCATTGTCTCTCAAAATATGCCTTCTGTGTTGTTTTACCTGTCCTTTTACCCCACACCCAATTAAATGTGGGGTGAACCATTCCACAGTGTCTGCCACAGCAGCTGTGGCTTCTGAATTTTACTGTCTCTTCTAAATTTTTCCGCTCTTCAGTCTTCCTGTACTGCATTCCAAATGATTTCTCTTTCTTGACCTACCTTCCAGCTTACACTTCTCTCTTCAGCTCTAATTTGCTATTAAAGCCATCTGTTGAGTTCTTCATTCCAGTTATTTAGTTTTATACTTATAGATTATTCCATAGTGCATATATCTTACATTTGAAGTAATGATTTTTTTCTGTTGTTTTTTCATTTTTTTAAGTTATTAAATCATAGTAAGCATAGTTATTTTTAAATCCCTGCCTGATAATTCTAATTTTTTTTTTTTTTGAAACAGAGTCTTGCTCTGTCTTCTGGGCTGAAGTGCAGTGGTGTCATCTCGGCTGACTGCAACGTCCACTTCCTGGGTTCAATTCATTCTCGTGCTTTAGCCTCCTGAGTAGCTGGGACTATAGACATGCCCAATTAAGGAAGGAGACCACTCCTACTCCCCACACCTTGCCTAGTTCACAAGACAGGAGGAGAGAGAAAGCAAAAAGTTAGAAAGAAACCAAAGTAAGATAAATAGCCAGACAACCTCGGCACCACCACCCTGCCCTAGGAGTTAAAAAAATAATAATAATAACATCAATCCCTGACCTAAACTACTTGTGTTATCTGTAAATTCCAGACACTGTATGAAAAAAGCATTGTAAAACTTTTTGTTCTGTTAGCTGAGGCATGTAGCCCCCAGTCACGTTTCCCATGCTTGCTCGATTTATCACGACCCTTTCCCATGGACCACTTAAAGTTGTAAGCCTTTAAAAAGGCCAAGAACTTCTTTTTGGGGGAGCTGGGCTCTTAAGACGCGAGTCTGCCGACGCTCCCGGCGGAATAAAAAACGTCTTCCTTCTTTAATCCGGTGTCTGAGGAGTTTTGTCTGTAGCTCTCCTGCTACATTTCTTGGTTCCCTGACTGGGAAGCCAGGTGATTAACCAACTGTCGAAGCAGCCCCTTAGGCAGCTTATGCCTGCCCTGTAGAGCATCCCTGTGGGGGACGCTGGCCAGCTTGAGCTATGCGGATCCTGAGAGCGCTCCCAGGTAGGCATTTGCCCTGGTGGAACGCCTCGTCAGAGCAGTACACAGCAGGCCCCCACGGAAGATCAAGGCAGTGACTGAACACCGGGAAGGAACTGGCACTTTAAGTCCAGACATCTGAAACTTGGTAAGACTGGTCTTTGGAACTTGCTCACTCCATTTGAGTGGAAGTGTGGCCTGATCACCCACAGCGTGCCTGTACCGGCACTTTGGTTTTTGTTTTTGACTTGACTTGCTTGACACTTTGGTTTTAGTTTTGATTTTGATTTAGTGTGAATTAGATGAGTGAGTGATCTTTTACCCTTTACTTCTTACAGTGTGAATGTTGTTTTGTCTTGAGAAAAAAATAGGTCAGACACAAAGTAAGCCCACTCCACTAGGAACTGTGTTTAAAAAAAATTCAAAAAGAAAAAAAGAAAGTCATCAAATCATCAAAACGTACTCTATTAAAATGCACGTTACAGAACCTTAAGAAAGGTTTTGCAGGAGATTATAGAGTTAAGTTAACCTCCTAGAGGTTAAGAACTCCGTGTGAATTAGAACTGCCCTCTTTTGGTGTTGGATGGCCCATGGAAGGAACTATAGACAGAGAACAACTGGCCATGTATTTAAGGTGGTGACAGGGGTCAGAGGACAGCCAGTGTACCTAGATCAAATTCCTTTATATTGACTCACGGTTAAATATAATATAGACAAAACCAGCATAAATTTAGCCCCGTTTAACAGCTTATTGCAAAAAAGCCAAAAGTAAAAGTAAGAGCAGCTTCACCAGCAGACAGAGAGTTAAAAAAGGAGTCCCAGAAACAGCAAGAGAAGCCAGGTTTGCAGGAGTCACCAGAGATAATAGAAAGTCTTTCTCCATGTGTCCCAGCCCACTACCCTGCTTTACCAAGGCCAACAGCCCCCTCGGAAATGAGATTCAGAAGCTAACACACCCCAGGTCTCACCTCGAAGGGGAGGATTGGAGCCTCCAGAGGCCAAGGAAGGAAGTCAAGATAGTCAAGTGGGCTGTCTCAGATCTGGTCTTGCTGGAGCTATGTAAATGCCTCTCAGGGAGACGGAGGACCTGTCTATTATAATGACCAAGCCCACATCCGGGGGCTGGGGAGGGGAGGGAGGCAACAGACTTTCATCTATCAGCCGTTTCAACCATTGATCTACTAAACTGAAAACACCCTGAACCCGCCACCTTGCTCCTGGCAGCTGGAGCCCTGTAGAGCATGACTGTGTAGAGGTGTTGGACTCAAGTTTCCTCTAGCAGACCTGACCTCCGGGACCAGCCTTGGGCATCAGTAGACTAGGAGCTATACGTGGACGGGAACAGCTTCATCAACCCACAAGGAGACAGAAGTGCAGAATATGTGGTGGTAACCCTGGACACTGCCGTTAAGCTGAGCTCAATGCTTTAATTCGGGCCTTAGAATTAAATACCTCAGTAAAGGTAAGACTGTAAACATTTACCTGACTCTCAGTATGCCTGTTTAACCCTTCAAGTGCATGGAACATTATATAAAGAAAAGAGCCTGTTAAACTCCAGGAAAAGGGGGAAAAAAGACGCAGAGAATGCAACTCAGCTTCAGCATTTGCAGAGGTACTGAGAAGCACTTCTGCAGAGGCTAAAACTTGGTAGAAAAAAGCAAGTCATATAAAAGAGATTTCAGGAATGCTTCAAGTTGCTGACAAGAGCCTAAGTCAGTTTTATAAGAGACTATAAAGCATTCTGGTTTTACACCCCATTTGACACTGAGGCTGCTGAAAATCAGTATATAGTGAATACTTCATTTGTAAAGCAAGCCCAGGGTAACATCAAGCAGAAGCTGCGGGCATGAATACCACCTAGTCTATAAAAGTGGCCACCAAGGTGTATGTTAACTGTGACCAAGGGACAAAACTGGAAAAGAGCAAAAGAAAAAAAAAAGACTAAGAGTCAATGTGAAAAAGAGAATCTGAAGAAAACAGGAGAGACAGACAGCAGTGCACGGGGCCAGGGCCTGCGCCGTTGCCCAGCCCCACCAGCTGGCCTAAGAGCAGGAAAACTCAGGAAAAAAAAAAAAGAAGACTTAAGAAAAAAAGCCAATCTATTAGCAACAGCTCTTATAAAAAAAACATTCGCAATGTGAGAAGAGATGGTCATGCATATAAACGTGAAAAAAGTCAAGTTAGGCAAAGATTCAAGAGCCAGACAAGGCTAGACAGAGATTAACGTGCGAAATGCAAAAAGAAAGGACACTAGAAGGTTAAATATTCAAAAGGCAATAAAACAAATGGCCAAGGCCACAAGACAAAGAGGCCGTCAGCCAAGGGCTGCTGCACCTTGGAGGAACCAAATACTGATCTGATCAGGCTGACAGGAGCTAAAAAATGTAAAGACTAGGGCAGACTAGGCACCTTCCCATTAGGCTCCCAGGAGCCCATGGTCACATTAGAAGTCAAAAGCAGCAAGATTTCTGCTGTATCTGGATTCCAATTTCTCACTAAAGGCTAAGCCACTAAATAGAGTTACAAAGGGGGACAGTGTGGGGAGAAGAGCCCCTCCTCTAAGAAACTTAAACAGGAAAAAGAGCCATACCTTGTGAAAACCTGCTTACAGATTTTACAGACCTGCCCCGTGCTGGAGGCTATCGGTACAGGCTAGTGCTTGTTTGCACCTTTTCAAGGTAAGTTAAAGTTTTCCTCACCAGGACAGAAAAAGTACAAGAAGTGACTAAAGTACTGTTAAAAGACATTATCCCCAGGTTTAGACTACCTCTAACTTTAAAGTCAGACAATAGGCCAGCATTTGTAGCTGAAATAGTGCAAGATTTAATAAGACTGTTAAAAATAAAATAAAAGTTACACACAGCCTATCGGCCACAAAGTTCAAGAAAAGGTAAAATGCATGAACTGGACACCCGAGCAGCTACTAAAAAAAAATATTGCCAGAAAATCATTTAAGATAAAATCAGGTTTTTGCCTATGGTCCTCCTCCGAGTCAGATGCACTCCCACCAAACAAACTAGGTATTTGCCCTATAAGATTTTGTTCAGTCGGCCACCCCCAAATCATAAGTCAAATTAAAGGTGACCTCCAGAAACTAAGGGAATTAACCTTAAAAAAACAAATGCAGGATTTAAAAACAGCCATATGAAGTGTTCATGATTGAGTAAATGGAAATGCCTATAAGTCTGACACCACTTTAAATCTAGTGACTCTGTTTAAAGTAAAATCTAATTTTTCTAGCACCCATATAGGATGGGCCCTCTACTGTAACCTTGTCCACTCCCACTGCTATTAAAGTTGCAGGTGTTGTGTCTTGGATCCCCTCAGTCAGCTAATACCGGCAGCTCAGGACAAGTGGACCAGCCAGCAGGAAACAGATCATCCAACCCGGCTGATCCCTAGACGAGACCAAGCTGCTGCTGAGGATGATAGCCCTGCTCTGGTCACTCTGGAGGCTGACCAGTCTACACACGGCTGAAGCTTGAGGAGACAACAAGCCCTGCTCTAGTCACACACCGGCAGCTGACTAGTGTATGCATGGCCAAAGCTTGAGGACTCATCAAGCAAGTAAATGGAGTTAAAAATCTTAAGATTAATAGTTTTCCTGTAATACTGTTTTCCTATTGTTCTGTCACTGTATTCAACCTTTTTCCCAAGTAAGGACTTGTTTTGTCCTTGCTGGATATGAATATGCTGTACATTGTTTTGTTGTTGTTAACCTCCATAACCATGCTAGAAGAAACACCTGTATAAGGTGTCCCCACTGTACACATGCTACTTAGGAAACCCAGACCCGTCCAGCCCAGCGACAATTCCGAGTCTTTCAGTCATTCTTGAAACTATAACCAGAAGTTACCAGAACCTCCTCCTTTAGCAAAAAAAGAAAAAACCTATTTGCTCAGTTGGCTGTAAACATTGCTAGCAGACTAAATGTTTCTTCGTGTTATATTTATAAAAAGGCTAACATAAGACACCAATGGCCTTGAGAAGCAAAAGAGTTCATGCCTCCAGATAACTTCACTTTAACACTTTCCCCAAACAGATGCCCCAAGTTCAAGCGTCTGGCTCTTAAAAACTTGTTATTAAAAAATACTGTGTTACTCGCTAAGAAAAAGCTTTTAAGACCCAGTAAAAAAACTAACCTGCTTAGGACATGACAAAGTTGGTACATGTGCCTGTACAGGTTTAACACAGGTTTGATCCTTGGTCTTCATTTAGAAAATAGTTTACAGCTATAAGAAAATTTAAAACCCTCATTGTAAGTGTATTACTAGTACTAGAAACTCGCTTGCTGCTCCCCTGTATATTACATTTACTCCTTCAAATGAAAGAAGGGTTTGTAGCTACCATGGTTCGTCAGAAAACTTCAACGCAAGTGTGTTACATAAAACACTATCACTGTGTCTCGCAGAAAGACTCAAAAAATAAAAATAAAACTCCCACTAATTAGTGAAAATTCTCAAAGAGGGGGATAAGGAAGGAGACCACTCCTACTCCCCACACCTTGCCTAGTTCACAAGACAGGAGGAGAGAGAAAGCAAAAAGTTAGAAAGAAACCAAAGTAAGATAAATAGCCAGACAACCTCAGCACCACCACCCTGCCCTAGGAGTAAAAAAAATAATAATAATAACATCAACCCCTGACCTAAACTACTTGTGTTATCTGTAAATTCCAGACACAGCATGAAAAAAGCATTGTAAAACTTTTTGTTCTGTTAGCTGAGGCATGTAGCCCCCAGTCATGTTTCCCATGCTTGCTCGGTTTATCACTAACCTTTCATGTGGACCCCTTAAAGTTGTAAGCCTTTAAAAAGGCCAAGAATTTCTTTTTCGGAGAGCTTGGCTCTTAAGATGGCAAATCTGCCGATGCTCCTAGCCAAATAAAAAACCTTTTCCTTCTTTAATCCGATGTCTGAGGAGTTTTGTCTGCGGCTCGTCCTGCTACACAACCACACCTGGCTAATTTTTGTATTTTTAGTAGAGACAGGGTTTCACCATGTTGGCCTGACTGGTCTTGAACTCCTGGCCTCAGGTGATTCTCCCACCTTGGTCTCCCAAAGTGCTGGGATTATAGGTGTGAGCCACTACACCTGACCAGATAATTCTAAAATTTGAAGTTGCAAGGTCTAACCCAGCAGTTACTAGCTACACGAGGCTATTGAGAAATTGAAATACAATTAGTTTGAATTGAGATGTACTGTAGTATATGGTGCACACCAAATTTTGTCAGCCGGGTGTGGTGGCTCACGCCTGTAATCCCAGCACTTTGGGAGGCCAAGACAGGCAGATCACGAGGTCAGGAGATTGAGACCATCCTGGCTAACATGGTGAAACCCTGTCTCTACTTAAACTACAAAAAATTAGCCAGGTGTGGTGGCTGGTGCCTGTAGTCCCAGCTACTCGGGAGGCTGAGGCAGGAGAATGGCATGAACCTGGGAGGCAGAGCTCGCAGTAAGCCAAGATTGCGCCACTGCACTCCAGCCTGGGTGACACAGCGACACTCTCTCCAAAAAAAAAAAAAAAAAGAAGTCAAATGTCTCATTATTCATTTGTCTATTGATGACATGTTGAAATAATAGTTTTGGTTAAAAAAATTGAGTTAAAACATATTGAGTTAAAAATATTGTAAAAATGTATTTCACCTGTTTCTTTTTATTTTTTCAATGTGTTCACTAGAATATTTAAAATTCCCTGTGTGGCTCACACTTGTGGCTTCCATTATATTTCTATCAGAGTACTGATCTAGAGGTTCCATATATTTTCTGTCTCTGTTGTACATTTCAGCTGGTTCTCTGGTTCTCATTTCTGCTATCTTATCTTCCCATGTGGTTGGTTATCTTTGTCTACGTTCTGGGTACGATGTTTTAAAAATTGCTGTTGATAGAATATAAAGTGTAGGATGGGCTGGCCATAGTGACGCACTCCTATAATCCCAGCACTTTGTGAGGCTGAGGTGGGGCAGATGGCTTGAGGCCAGATGTTTGAGACCAGTCTGGGCAACATGGTAAAACGCCATCTCTATTAAAAATACAAAAATTAGCTGAGTGTGGGGTCATGCACCTGTAGTTTCAGCTACTCAGGAGACTGAGGTGGGAGGATCACCTGGGCCTGGGAGGTGGAGGCTGCTGTATGCTGTGATCGCACCACTGAACTCTAGCCTGGGTGACAGAATGAGACCCCATCTCAAAAAAAAAAAAAAAAAAAAAAAAAAAGGTAGCATGATATTTCCTTCCTCCAGAAATGAATTTCATTTGCTTATATCAGGTACTTGATAGCTATAAAATTGCTTGAATTTTGCTGCAGGAATTGAGATATTTTGGGACATTCAGAAGCCTTGAACCCGGACTGCCTTCTGTTTGAAGACTGGTTGACCATCAGTCCACCTTTACTCTGAGGGTCCAGTCCCACTCTTGGCAGGCTCTGGACTCCAATATCTGTTTGCACAGCCCCATGAAGCCATCCAAAGCGCACGTGAGCCACTAGAATCAAAAGGCCGCTGACTCTTTACCATATCACTACTGCCACAGTTAGGAAGCCACCAAGACAAGGAAGGAATCCATCCATAATCAGAAACCTACCACCCTCAGAAACCACAGCCACTGTTGCCCGCTGCAGATCCCACTGTGCCTGCGAGGATTTTCAGCTTCAAATGGACGCCACGTGCCCTGCTCTCAGCACCTCAGAGCCAGCGACCAGAGCCCAGGACCTCAGCTAACACTGCCCAGAAAACTGAGTATCTCCCCCGCTGGGCTTGGCAGCAGGAGCAGCAGATGCCTGGCCCCTACTGCAATTCCCCCACATTTGAGTGACTGAATCTGCACCACATCCTGACTCTGGTTGTAAAGGAGTCTGGGAAATGTAGTTTTTAGCTTTCCTGTTTCTGTAGTATAGGAAGGCACAGCAGAAAGCAGATGGAATGGACTTATCCTTCTCCCATCTGCCCCCCAGGTACATACAATTATAATACCATTTGGTTTAAGTTTCAAAATATGCAAAATGATACTATATCTTGCTTACTGATATATCATATACATGTAAATTCATGTACATCCATACACCTGTATCTGTGTAACTACATATGTGCATATCCATATATAAGTATACAATTGCCACAAAGGCAGTAAGATCAGTTGTGGTTTCAAGCACCGGCTCTGCAGTCAGAAACCCTGTGTTTGTGTGACATGGGGCATGCACGTTTCCTCAGTCTCGCTCACTAAGCTTATACTTCCCTGTGTGTAAAATAGGCATCATGATAGTACCTACCTCAAATATTGCTGTGGGCCTCAAATAAGCCAGTGCCTGTAATAGACTTAGCATAGTGCTTGGCTCGTGGTAATACTCAGAGAATTGTAGCTCTTTCCATCATAGGGGGTAGCAGAAGGCCTCGGTGGTCAACCCAACTCACTGTATCAGCCTGACAAGTCACTTAACTCCTCCGGGCCTTGATTTCTTGTCTTTCAGATGAGGGAGTTGCCCTAAATGATCTATGAGGTGAGTTCCTAAGCCAATGTCTCCAGGTCCTTAGGGGAGAGTGAGGTTATTTCCTTAGCATTTTATGGTGAGCATTGGAGAGTCTGGCTTTCCGAATTTTTACTGTTATTATTTCTTACAAACCCTTGTCGTTCTAACTTATCTCTAGATACTACCTGAGAGAAACAGAAGATAAAACTACCACCAGGACCCACCAGCAACATGACACACGGCCAGTGACTTCGGCTGCTAAAATCAAAATGTACACCAGAGGGTGCTGCAGTTAAAGAGCGAGACAGAGGTGAGCGGGCTGCCAGGGTCCAGTCTCCTAGGGGCTAGAAAAAGCTATGAGCACAGGCCTTGGGGAGGCGGTAGGACTACCTGAGGCGGAATTCCACGAAAACCAAGTGAAAAAATACTGTTTCATTCAGGCTTCAGTTACCTAGATGTGTGTTCCTCGGGAGAGTGGTTGTGTGTGGTTTTCGCACACTGATTTGGATTGTTGTTATAAAGCTGAAAGGGCCACATTCATAAAACAGAAATAAATAACAAAAATAAAAGCTTTTATCTTTTGCTGTGAATTTTTTTTTTTTTTTCTGAGACAGAGTCTCCCTCTGTTGCCCAGGCTGGAGTACAGTGGCGCGATCTGAGCTCACTGCCAGCTCCGCTTCCCGGGTTCACGCCATTCTCCTGCCTCAGCCTCTCGAGTAGCTGGAACGAGAGGCACCCGCCACCGCACTGGCAAACTTTTTTGTATTTTTAGTAGAGACGGGGTTTCACCATGTTAGCCAGGATGGTCTCGATCTCCCGACCTGGTGATCCGCCTGCCTCGGCCTCCCAAAGTGCTGGGATTACAGGCGCGAGCCACTAAGCTCGGCCATGAATTCTTAAATAATGGAAAGTGCTTGCAGAATTCTCCTACTTAGTAAATGAGAAAATGTCCGTGTTGACAGCCCGTCAAGATGACACGTTTTCACAGTACTTAGGGGAGACAACCTCCAGAAATAAAATAACCTTGTGGCAGTTTACTCACAGTGACTTCAGTCCTCAAGGAAAATATGGGCTTAACAAACTGTACACTAAGACTATAATAAATATTGGAGATGGATAATAATTAAAATATAATTTCAATTAGTTGAAATTATATTATTCCATCAAACCATTTTTAACTCCAATAGAGATATACTTTTTGAAAAAAATGGAGACCGGGAGCAGTGGCTCACGCCTGTCTGTAATCCCAACACTTTGGGAGGCTGAGGTGGGCGGATCACCAGGTCAGGAGATTGAAACCATCCTAGTTAACACGGTGAAACCCCGTCTCTACTAAAAATACAAAAGATTAGCTGGGCGTAGTGGCGGGCACCTGTAGTCCCAGCTACTCGGGAGGCTGAGGCAGGAGGATGGCCTAAACCCAGGAGGCAGAGCTTGCAGTGAGCTGAGATCACGCCACTGCACTCCAGCCTGGGTGACAGAGCGAGACTCCGTCTCAAAAAAGAAAGAAAGAAAGAAAGAAAGAAAGAAAGAAAGAAAGAAAGAAGGAAGGAAGGAAGGAAGGAAGGAAGGAAGGAAGGAAGGAAGGAAGGAAGGAAGGAAGGAAGGAAGGAAAGGGAAATACAGGCAACTTCATAGAAAAAGGCCCTCATAAATGTTAAATTTAAATAATATATATATATATATATTTTTTTTTTTCCAGACAGGGTCTATGTCACCCAGGCAATCTCAGCTCTCTACAATCTCTGCCTCCTGGGCTCAAGCGATCCTCTTGCCTCAGCCTCCCACCCCCCCCAACCCCCACCCCCTTGCCGCGGTAGATTAAATTACAGGCATGTACCACCACACCCCCCTAATTTTTGTATTTTTAGTAAAGATAGCATTTCACCATGTTAGCCAGGCTGGTCTTGAACTTCTGGCCTCAAGCGATTTGTTCACCTCGGCCTCCCTAGAAAACATTTAAATTATCTCTTGATAGCTGTTTGTGTGAGAGGTGTTTATACTGTCATGTGCTCTTTTTTCTCAGTTAACATAATTTCAAGAAAACAAATGAAGATTTTTATGCAAATAAACTTTCATAATACAATAAACTGCCCTATGGTGGCTCAGAAATGATGAAAGTGTAGGCAATGAAGCCTCCTAGATAACAAAGGGTTCCCACTAACTCCTGCCCTCCATCGTAACCTCAGCACTGCGTGTTCAGAAAATCGGAAGGCTGGAAACTCTTACCAGTTCTAACTCAGTGGATGGATGAGGGATCCACGAAAATTCCAAAATCTGAACAGACACCTGCACAGTTCATTAGCTACCCTACAAAAGGAAGTGCTTAAATACGATTGTAAAAATGTTTTGGTTACTGGCCGGGCGCCATGGCTCATGCCTGTAATCCCAGCACTTTGGGAGGGCAAGGCGGGTGGATCACGAAGTCAGGAGATTGAGACCATTCTGGCTCACATGGTGAAACCCCGTCTCTACTAAAAAAAAAATACAAAAATTAGCCGGGCGTGGTGGTGGGCACCTGTAGTCCCAGCTACTCGGGAGGCTGAGGCAGCAGAATGGCATTAACCCGGGAGGGGGAGCTTACAGTGAGCCGAGATCACGCCACAGCACTCCAGCCTGAGCGATGGAGTGAGACTCCATCTCAAAAAGAAAAAAAAAAAAAAGTTTTGGTTACTAAGAGCTATCAGAAGAAGTGTGGTTGCTTTTCACAAGAAGTTGACAATAAACTTCTTAATGATTAGTAAATGATGGAGTGATTTTAAACATTTAAAAGCAATCCCTCATTGTTCCACATTATTGTGAAGATCCACGATATGCTAGTTTGTTAAGCGGGAGCAAGTGTTTCTTTCCAGCCCACAACTCTGCCTGGCACCTGGCTGATCCTCTTCCAAGGGTCACTTGGGTCCTGGGCCAGGCTGGTGTGGGTGCAAGGGGGAGGTCATTTATATGGAGCACATATGAATGCAAAAGTCATTATTGAATTGATGTCTTCTTGGTACTCATTATCAAACCTAAGTGTGACTCCCCAGCTGTTTACTTGAAGCTCAAGTGTAGGCCTGCAGGATGTGCGGGTGAAATTTAGGAGATATGTAAGTCTCCACATCTCACACTGAGCCACGTGCCCGTTAGTACTCAGATGGGTGACAAAAGTGCAAGAAACCACAGGGTCAGCTGGTGCATTGCCCCGGAGACTCATTTTGGTCAAAAATTTGTACAGGATAAGCGTATTAATATTTGTTTATATTAAAACAAATCTAGCTATACTATGGAGTAAAATACAGAACTGGACATGATTTTCCTTTTCAGTGAAAACAAGGAACATCAAAAAATTACTGTTTTGTAGAGTGCTGCTGTGGGCTGGGTTTTTGTCCTTAGGAGCAAAACACTCACTCCTGCTCTTCTGCCAGGAGGGGCAGTTCAAGCGAATCATCCGGAGACCCAATTCTCATTTACCAATTTCATTTCGCATCCAAGGAATCTAAAGCACAAGGAGAAAACTCCGGATATGTGGATGAGATTTGGGCTTCATACACCTTCCTTCTTCCATTAAACCTTGGCTATGTCTTCCTACTTTCAACCCCAGCCTTGACCAAGCAGACAGTTCAGAGGAAGCCTGGTCTAGTGGTCCAGGGAGGAACCTAGGAGGGTCCATGATTCTAGTTCCTGTTGTGCCACTAACCAACCATGTGACTCAAGCAAGGAACTGCATGTCCCAGTCCCTCAGTGACAGAGAGATGTGAAAGTGGAGTGTGAAGGGCTGTGTGAAGAGGTGGAGCCTGAAGCCTGGAGTCCAGCGATTGAAGACACTTTGGTAAGGAACCGAAGTGGGCTGCCCAGGAGCAAGTCCAATCTCAAGCTAGCACACTTGCCCTCTGCCTTATCTGCATGGCCTATGGTTGGTGACTCCAGCACTGGGCACAGTGATGAACACATCATAGGTGATTAATGTGCATCTGCTGAATGAATGAGGCATCTTGGGAAATCCTGCAGAGGTGGTTGGCATTTGCAGTACAACTCACATCAGAGGAGTTTGCTGGGAGAAGGGAATGGATAACTTTGTAAAACAGATGTGCATGATTAGACTTATGTCCCTCCTTGCTAGCACAGAAAAATCCCTGATGTTTATCAGTAGTTCTAAATGCAGGATGGAGCTCAGGCTTGTGGAGTGTGTTTTATTCTTTCACCTTCCCAAGTATTTGTGATCCTTCCTTTCAGCACACCTGGGAAAGCCAAGAGAGAATGGGGCTTGGTGAGCAGGGAGCCCCAGGTCTTGCAGGGATCGCAGAACCTGCCTTCCTTTCTTCCTCCATCCTCCTGGGAAAGAGAGCTCCCCTTCTTCACCCCATGACACTGGGAAGAGTTAAGCCCTAAGAGAAACCTGTGCCGTATCACCATTCCTTTGTTTAGTGTTTCTCATTTTACCTTTCTTTCCTTTTTCATTGCATCTGGTGATCAGAAATGCTGCTGGGAGGAGAGAGACTCCTGAGGGAGATTGGCACCGTAGTGTGGGGAGCACTGGACACCAGGGCTAAAAGTGCCCACATGTGCGCTGTCTCACAGAGACACTAGACACTGCCACTAGAAAGTGGAAGGCAGGGATTTAGACTCATGTTTCCTCTGGCTCCAAAGCCCGTATTTATCTCACTGAGGTGGGTATAAACTGTTTATCTTCTTAGAATTAGGAAGAGAGTGGTAGAATTTTCAGGAACCTTCATTGTCAGCTAGATTAGTAATACAAGAGTTTCCTGAATTTCCAGTGCAAAAGGCCCACAGCCAATTGGCCTGAGGAAGGAGACTCTGGGGGAGCCTTTTGTTCCCCAGCAGCAGGAGGAATCCAAATGAAATCCTTGGCCACACCGTGGGCGAACTGGCTCTCAGTCACATGGGAGAGGTTCCATTTCAGGCACGCTCTCTGGGTTTTCTTTTAGTGGATTTTGGGAGAGGAAAAGGGCTGGATTCCTACTACTCTTGTCACCGGAATGAAGGAGAAGCAGGAAAGAGGAGGGGCTCAGATTCCAGGGTCCTGAGTGCTCGGGGGGCTGCTTGAGTGCCTCTATGGGCTTTGTGGGTTAGACTCCTGGGAAGACCTGGCTGGGCACCTAATTTCTATTTTTAGAATCCTTTCTGGTAGAAAGTAAGTTCCAGGTTCTAAACATGAAGTACAAGGCCAGGTGTGGTGGCTCTCGCCTTTAATCCCAGCATTTTAGGAGGCCGAGGTGGGCGGACTGCTTGAGCTCAGGAGTTCGAGACCAGCCTGGGCAACAGGGTGAGACCCCATCTCTACCAAAACTACAAAAAATTAGCCAGGCA